TTCGTCTCTCATTTTATGGAGTACTCATTAACAATATTAGCTGTGTTAATTTTGATAATATGTTCATACGTAGTCTTTAAAATGTATTGGACAGTACCACATTGCTACAATGTTGCTACCTAGCCTACCTTTAATGAACAGGACGGTGGGCATGCTGTGCTACATACTAGACCACCACTAGTAGTTTAACCTTGATTCTTTACATGTACAAATAAATTCATAATTAGATCAACCTAAAACTTTAATTCAGATTCACAATTATAATATCTATGCCTTCTATTGAGAGCACAACTGCGGAACTAACGATTAAACAGCATGTAACGACAGGAAATGCGAGCTACTGAAAAAAAAAACTCAAAGCATTCAGAAGCGAGTCTCGTAGTGTTTACAGAAACCAAACAGTTTTATTGTAAGACTTACACAAGTAAAGAAAACGTATCACGATGAACTGGATGACGGTTTTGATTAAAAAAAAAAACAGTTGGATGTATTATGCTTGGCAAAGTTCCGGTTGACATATCGTTAATAAGTCCACACTGTTCAGTGACTTCATTTGAAATCTTTATTATCACAGACAGAGCGGTTGGTATTTTCCCTTCAGTAAGTTGCACCCAATGCTATCATTAAAAACGCTTGCCCTGTCTATGAATCTACCGACTGAAAAGCATAATCATGAACACAATGCCGTGTTTACTCAAATAAAATAATAGAAAATACCAGTGTATAAGTCGTGAACATACAGCCTACAAATTCTTATCAAGGTATCAAATGGTTCAGTTCACTCAAATACCAATATAGGTCTACAGTTATATAGTCTATAGTTCACTCAAAATCAACATGCCACTGAGCTATTGTTTTTTCTTCTTACAAACAATTCCCTATTGTTATACTTCAACCAAAGAAAGTGACAATAATCAACGCATCAACAATCTTTTGTTTAGTTGCAAACAATCTTCCTATTATCGTCCAACTGCCAAATACAGTGTACAAATAGTGGACGTAGAATTGAATACGTTTTGGTGATGCCTTTTTTTCAACGCCATGTATATCTAATCATTCATAAAAAGAAACAATCTTTAACAATCTGAATTAGGCACCAAGCCTTTTGAAGTTTCAGTAAATAACATTTTTTTTTTAATGGCTACTTCCTAATGAATTAACACTGCAGAATAAATCAGCCCTTACTCTTAGTAGTAACCGACCAAAATATGCCGTCAATAAAAAAAAAACATGACTTTCAAGACAACAACAAGACAAGTCTCACCTAAAACAAAACTATGAACTTTTTTTTTTTATCCCCTTTCTATGCAGTTCTTTAATTTAAAACACAAAATTAGACAGAAAATATAGTAACTGTTGATGGTAATAGTTTATAGCACTATCTGCTAGTATATGTACATCGTATTTGCTTTTTTTTAACGCACAACTCCAATAATAGTGCATACCTACAAAGTAACACAATATTGAAGATGAATTTCATGTATTACCGTACTCACATGTAAAAATAGTCAGTTTGTACAAGCTCGTACTAAATTTGAAGCTGAATTAGCAATTTATGATGACAACATTTGCAAGTTATCAACTCTTGAGAAATTCAAGGCAGTAAAGATAGCTTCATTGTCAATTGCTTGGGAAAATTTATTTATTTTATTTCTACTCCTTAGTCTTTTTTTTTCTTGACCATAATGATTTATTGTATGTTATTTCATTCAAACTAAATTTTGTGTCAAATAAAATATCTAGTTATCTATCTATAAACCATTGTTACTTCTTTTTTAGTAACCGTGTATAAACCAAAAGTTGCACATATTGTAACTAGTCTATTAAAAACAACTTATTTTAAACACAGACACATTGGTCATGTACAAAAGCGCACACGCTACGAAATAAGGAAATTCAGTATCTCAGTTTCTGAAAGACAACACGAGTACAATAGCAGTTCAAGCAAAAAAACTAAACAATGACAGATCCCCCACACCCACCAAGAACAGCACTGAGTGTTTGCAAGTTTACTATTTGAATATAACATTTAATACTAAATTCTGACTCATCTAAACTACCAGCACAGTTGCATGGAATAGTATAAAATCTAAATATATATACCAGGTATGCACGTAATTGAAACCTCATTCCTGTGCGACCACCACTAGCTTATAGGTTTTATTTCTTTGTTGTTAAAACTTCTTGAGTTACTCTAAGAGTGTATTGTAAAGTACCAGTAGATCTCTGCGGCTAAAAAGCTCATGAAATAATGGGGGTCAAATAAATGTTTGCAGAGTATTCAGAGGATGTTTTATCATTGGAACATTAGTATTAAAAGCACTCGTCTTTCTCTAGGATCTTTGATCAAAGGTAGTTTTCTATTTATATATGAAATTGACATAAAAGGTCATAGTACAGTCCTGCCATAAAAGAATGACATCAAGGTCAATCAACAAGTTTGTTGCCCAACTCATCGCTGTCACATTTTGAACCCTAAGCATTTGCCGATATTTACCTTATAGCCACATGTGATGTTGACCATGATGCTCTCTATAAATATGTGAAACATCTCCAAATGAACCTGGTGTGCATTTCTATACAGGTACTATTAAACCCATGGTCAGAAGCCAGGAGCAAGTTTTTTTCTAAAATATTCAGTTGGGGTTCAAAAGTATAAAAAAAAATGTGGTAAAAACTGTCATTTTGGTATGTTCAAATTATAAACCACCTGTCACTTTTGAAGAGAAAATACAGCTAGAAAGAGAAAAGGGTGTTAAATCCTCCCTATTGGTTGAACCAGCAAGTTGTAATTTCACAGGTGTCATAATAATCAGCATATTAGTATTTACAGCATCTGGGTGTTTTTAATTTGCCAATTTTTCCTGAGACATGACACCAAATCTAATGCCTGGATCTACTGATTAATTGTCTATGCTCAGGACTCAAAATTAACATTATTCCCTAAACACCTAACAGGCTACCTATTCCATGGAAGGTATTAACATTAATACCTTCCATGCCTATTCTAAGAGTTGGTAGGCCTGTGGTAATATTGGGTAGTTCATCAGGTTTACTAGTAATTATCACCATGCCAATTTGTTCAAAACTTTGACCACATAATGGTTTATGTAAAAACAACAAAATGTCATTTTTTTTTTACATTTCTAGTTATTATTAATTTGGGCAACTACCCGGTAGTTGCTACATTTGAAAAAATTATAGCCCTCGGACAAGACTTTATAGTCTGTGTGTCTTGGGCTACTGTTAATATTGTGACAAATAAAAAATGCAATGTTGAAATGATAATTAAATGACACTTACCGTTGGATCAATGTAGGTTTCATCACCAGACGTATGTAAGGCACGTTTTGGCGTGGAAGTTAACGAATAATTAAGTTTGTCATTTTTTTCCATTTGTTTATACCGATGGAGCTCTGCCTCCAGTAAATCTTTTTCAATTTGAATTTTTTTGGCAAGTTGTTCTCGCTCCTCAATTTCCTGGTCCTTTCTCCGTAGCATATCCCGCACACTTTGGAGATCGTTAACGATTTTAATTTCATCTTTTTTAGCTTTTAATATCCGTTCCTTTTCTGCTTCATGGTGCACACACAAGCGACGTATATCCTCAATCTTTTCCTGCTCACTCTGACATTTTATCTCGTACTGTTCCTCCGCTTTTTCCTTTGCTACTTTTAAAGATTTTAGTTCCTTCATCAACCTCTTCTCTAAATCACTAGTTGCACCTTGCAGCTGATTGGCCAACTGCTCCCTGGTCGTTTCCTGGACAACACGGACGCTATCCTCCTTCTCCTGTTGGAATTTCAACTTTAGTAACCTTAACTCTTCCTCCTTGTATTGCAATACTTGCCTCAATGCACTGTCTTTTTCCTGTGCCATTTTTTCCCTGAGTTTTTGTAACTCCACATGTTTTTCAGAAAGCAGTTTTATACTAGTCGCCTCAACAGCTTTGTCCTTCTCTTTCTCTAACTGGTCTCGCACGGCTTTTACTGCTTCCACTTTTTCCTTATACACCATTTTATTCCTAGTTCTTTCGGACTCTAGCTCCAACCGCATTTTGTTCAACCTCCTTTTTAAATCCTCGTTGGCCTTTTTCATGTTGACACTGGACGGGGATCCCCTTGTCGGAGTACTGTAATGGCCATTCTCCAAAGATTTGGATGACACGGAATGTGACATTTCTTAAACGGATGGTCACGAACATAAACAAGACTAACAACAACAGACTGGAACGTGTACGTACACTACCTACCTACAACAGATTCTATTAGTAACATATATACAATCACATCGGCGAAATTGTGCGTTGCAAATTATACAGTGTTCACCCCATATTGGTATCGTTGAAAGCCATTTCGAAAATACACTGTATAGTGGAGGGATACACAAACATCCAATCACCTGGGCACATACTTCGAGCCAAAATCAACTGAAAACTCAATGACCGGTGACATGCAAACAACGGCACGGTGACTTTCGGCGTTCTAGATCGCCGATTTCAACGAATTGCGGTGACTGAGCCACAGCATGTACGTGGTGCCGCTATCCAATGGCTGAACAGTACCGAGTTCCGATGCTGCAGAGCTAGGATGACAATACATAAAGCGTAAATCCAAACTCGAAAGTTGAACGGCAACAGGCAAAGTTGGACGCCATTGAGTGCAATTACTTCACTGGGCTTGCACTTTGACCTGATGACGACATTAAACTAATTTGCATAATACTAGTTTGTACGGTGCGCTACCAGCAACCACAGGCTGATACCGCGGTGGTACATTGTTTTAAATTTGCGTTTACAACTGCGGCGTATTTGAAATCTATTCGTAGACTGACTATTATTAGATACCACACGTAAACAAATAAATTTATGAAGCCACGTTGTTAACATTTAGATTAATTAATAGTGAAGGGCACCTAATGGCAACTTGGAAGGGACAAACTAGAGAAAGCTTATTGCAATCATCATACTCGAGGTGATACATTTAGACACAAAAAAAAATGAAAACAAAAACCAGACAGAGAAAATTACAGAAATGAAACACCACATTTATATAAAAAAAAACATATATAGAATTTCAAGGTATAATGTTTTCCGCGCGAAGATAGGGATGAAAAACAGTGATATGAGGAACTACGGATAAGCGGGTTCGAAATCGTTTGAGCGGGAGAGGTAGCAAAATGTCTCTGTAAGTTTCTCTGTGCAGATTTTATTCTAAATCTACCCCTCTCCATGTTCAACCACATATGGTTATTCAATTAAAAAGTTAGATGTGGTTCGGACCACTTTAAATTGTACTGAAGACGTGGTTTCAGGCTTATATACTCAAACGCATATTTATTCGTTCCCAGTGCAATGAACTTAGTATCCTTAATCAATCTATTGAGAAATGTCTAATGACTATATAATGGAGTTTCTGGAGCAAAACGGCTTATGTGATTTTCTACTAGGGTTGTCAATTCACGGCGAAGCCCCTAAAGCGAGCACGAAACTCTGGGTTGTTATACCGAAGTTATTGTATTTCTGTCTACAGCGTCACGCTTCAGAGATTCTGCTTTTGAAAAATGAGCAAGTGGCGGATTTTATGAGAAAAATAAATTGTCGTTAATAAAGAGTGAAGAAAAATAACAAATCTTCTTTAATGTAAAATAATTGGGAAAAAGTGAATAGAAAATTGGTTATGAGCAAGCCCGTATGGGTGATCCTTGCGGGTCCATGTTTCAGGTTAGCGTATCATTTGTATACATCTTTCCTATAAAGCGCGCCCTCTAGGACGAGTCGCTTCTATGACGTGAAATTGGACATACAAAGGTTGTTTTTATCTGCAGTCGTCCATAAATGAAGTTTATCTGTTTGAGAGATTAGACTGTATTCTAAACTACGAACGACTACACAACCAAAGTCAGTAGTCGAATTGAACAACATTGACTTCATCCATATACGTCATGTTGACGTCACTGAAGCATTCCATCACTTGAGGGCGCGATTTATAGGAACACGAATAGCTTGCAGGATATATTTTTTCGCTGGTCCCCGGCGCCCTTTGCAAAAGACGCCGGGAACCAGCGAAGTATTTCATTACAAAACAAAGGGAGTTCACAATACGACCATTGGCGGCGCTATTACACTGTCTGACATTGAAAGATAAACGAATAGATTTTAATTAGTTAACGTTGGTGGCGCGGCGACGAAAGGCTGATAAACGAATGCAATTTAAGTATTGGGCGCTGATGGCGCAGTAACAGGATAGGCAAAATGAATACAAAAATATTATTCACATTGGGCGTTGGTGGCGCTGCAGGATAGATATAAAAACGACCGCAGTTACATATTCTACCACAGACGGCGCTATGCTTATTTTATTTGCCTTAAAATCGTAAAGAATGTGAACTTTTTTCTCCAAAACTACTGTGCAAAAAGAAGTTCAGTGGTTTTCCTACTATAACAGTATGATTAAAAAAATGCAACTTTGACATTCATATTTTATGAAGTTGTGAGTAAACGCGGTTTCTGGGCTAACATAGTAGTAGTACTGCGGGTCAAGTTCCCGGGTCAAGTCAATGGATAAATAATAATACGTTTACTACTAATAACTCGTGACCGTCCCGCCGCTAATTTCACTCAATGAGCATGGCATCTTCTGTTTTGTTTTTCAGTGCTAGTATTTTATAGTTTGGAGAGGATATTATCATAGTTACCATTGACGAATGCAATTTGTTTTTGCCTTGATATGCACATGCATTCACGAGTCACTCCAAGCAGCAGGAAAACGACGTGCATCCCCGTCTGTCATATTCAGGACAAGGAATACAGAGGTCGCACGACAAGAAAGATTGACGGTCGGCATATGTGAACTGTGATTGTACCCAAACATTCAGTTGTTGTTGATTTCAATTTCAATTTCAAGCTTCATTCTCAGTCATTCAGTCGTCGCCTCGCCGCGGCTTCAGCAAAACCGTGCGAACCGGACGATGATGGTTCTGTTCAGACAACACATAAGTTCTGGGTAGTATCAATATAATATCAACTGTAAATCACCATTTTTTTGAGGAACATTCTATTTTTGGGGTGAACTATATTGTCTTGATGTAAATGCTGTAAAACCATTTATTTTCACTGATATTTAATTTCATGTCCAACAATGAGTTTTATTGTTATTTTACATGTTCAGACAAATAAATAATAACTTTTACTATTTAAATACATTCTGTTAAAATGTAAAAAATAACTATTCACAAATATTGAAGGTTATATTATAATAACAATAATAACTTTATTACACAACTTAACCATCTGTGGGTTTAGTAAGGTAAAAAAATGATTACAAAAGACAAATAAAATAAGACACACTAAAACACTAAAATTAAAATGCACTGAAATTCAACATAGAAAGAAATACAAATTAGAAAATCTCTGGGGAAAAAATGATTAAACAGCAGCAAGGTTCTCCCAGACCACAGTTACATATTTATCTTTTAGAAAATTGTATTTCTTTTTAAATAATATGACAAAGCCATATTATTTCCCATTATTTTCATAAAGCTTTCCATTCTGGACAAGTCATTAATTTTTATTTTAAAATACTTCAAGACATGTTTTCTCTCTACTTCATAGAAATTGCAATCTAAGATGAAATGCATTTCATCTTCAATTTATGATCTGAATTGCATTTTTTGCAAGTTCTTTCATTTTCTGGGGTTTTTGGTTTACTCATCCTTCCCAATTCAATTTCAAGGTTGTGGTCACCGAGCCTGAACTTTGCTAACACTCTACGTTGGCTGAAGTTTTTCATTTCATTTAGATAGTTTTCTAATTCAAATTTGTTCCCCTCTTTTTTATTTAATTGTTTTCTCCATGATTGAATAAATTCATTTGATAGCTTTGTTTTTACAACATTGGTTAGTTGATTAATATTGTTCATCTTGTTAGTTTCTTTTATTTTAGACAAGTTTTTTTCTCCAAAAATTGTTTTTATTTGAGTAATCCAGGTAGAATTATTTTGTATTTCCTTTAATGCACATTTTAATATGTGATTTTCAGGAAGCAAATTTATTCTGTACCAGTATTTAACCTTTGAAACCATTGCATTTATTCTTACTGGTAATCTACCTAGTTCACCCCTTATACCAGCTAATGGTGTAAATTTACTAACACCAAGAATAAAACGATAATAATTATTACAAACTTGCTCTAGGTTATTTGTGTCATTTGTTAGTTCACCTGCCCAAATTTCTGTAACCAACTGATCAAATAATTTTAAACACAATGAAGTTGAAATCATTTTATGACTAAGTATAGTTTGTCTAATGGCAAATAATGTCTTCATTGCTTTATTTTTTAGCATACAATGGTTTGTTTTAAATTTTCCATTCCAAGTGAATATCATACCCAAATAACAGAACTCCTTGACTGGTGTTATGTTTTTACCATCTATAATAAAAGTTTGGTTTTTCAGTACTCTGTTACTTGTGTTGAATATCATCACTTTGGTTTTCTTAACATTCACATCAAGATTCCAGGTTTTACAATAGTCTGCTAATTTATTCAGACAATTTTGTAAACCCTCTGCAGTCTGTGAAAACAAAACAAGATCGTCTGCATATAAAATAGAGTTTAAGGGTTTATCATCAATCATGATTGGTGTATCACCACTTTTACCAAAATGACCTGGAAGATCATTGATGAATATGTTAAAAAGGATGGGTGAGATATTACAACCCTGTTTCACACCACATGTGGACTGAAAACCTTCTGTTAAACCTATTTGACATCTTTACCTTGTAGTTTATTGTACATGGATTTAAAGATTTCATAGAAGTGACCATTAATTCCTAAATTTTGTAATTTTAGAGATAATGCTTTCCTCCAGACGCTGTCGAAAAGCTTTTCTGAAATCTATAAAACATGAGTACATGCGTTTTGGTTTATCGGAATTTTTTCCTTGACTGCTGTACAATGTTTTATCTATAGCTGTTTTAAGTAAAAATATAGAATCTGTTGTGCGTCTTTGTTTTCTGAAACCAAACTGTACTTGTGTCAGTAAATCATTTTTTTCCAAATAAGATGTCAGCCTTTGATTTAATATGCTGGTAAATAATTTGGCCATACAACTAGACAAGGCAACTGCTCTGTAGATATTTGGATCTGATTTGTCACCAGATTTATGTAATGGCACCAACAT